GAGAGAGAGAGAGAGAGAGAGAGAGAGAGAGAGAGAGAGAGAGAGAGAGAGAGAGAGAGAGAGAGAGAGAGAGAGAGAGAGAGAGAGAGAGAGAGAGAGAGAGAGAGAGAGAGAGAGAGAGAGAGAGAGAGAGAGAGAGAGAGAGAGAGAGAGAGAGAGAGAGAGAGAGAGAGAGAGAGAGAGAGAGAGAGAGAGAGAGAGAGAGAGAGAGAGAGAGAGAGAGAGAGAGAGAGAGAGAGAGAGAGAGAGAGAGAGAGAGAGAGAGAGAGAGAGAGAGAGAGAGAGAGAGAGAGAGAGAGAGAGAGAGAGAGAGAGAGAGAGAGAGAGAGAGAGAGAGAGAGAGAGAGAGAGAGAGAGAGAGAGAGAGAGAGAGAGAGAGAGAGAGAGAGAGAGAGAGAGAGAGAGAGAGAGAGAGAGAGAGAGAGAGAGAGAGAGAGAGAGAGAGAGAGAGAGAGAGAGAGAGAGAGAGAGAGAGAGAGAGAGAGAGAGAGAGAGAGAGAGAGAGAGAGAGAGAGAGAGAGAGAGAGAGAGAGAGAGAGAGAGAGAGAGAGAGAGAGAGAGAGAGAGAGAGAGAGAGAGAGAGAGAGAGAGAGAGAGAGAGAGAGAGAGAGAGAGAGAGAGAGAGAGAGAGAGAGAGAGAGAGAGAGAGAGAGAGAGAGAGAGAGAGAGAGAGAGAGAGAGAGAGAGAGAGAGAGAGAGAGAGAGAGAGAGAGAGAGAGAGAGAGAGAGAGAGAGAGAGAGAGAGAGAGAGAGAGAGAGAGAGAGAGAGAGAGAGAGAGAGAGAGAGAGAGAGAGAGAGAGAGAGAGAGAGAGAGAGAGAGAGAGAGAGAGAGAGAGAGAGAGAGAGAGAGAGAGAGAGAGAGAGAGAGAGAGAGAGAGAGAGAGAGAGAGAGAGAGAGAGAGAGAGAGAGAGAGAGAGAGAGAGAGAGAGAGAGAGAGAGAGAGAGAGAGAGAGAGAGAGAGAGAGAGAGAGAGAGAGAGAGAGAGAGAGAGAGAGAGAGAGAGAGAGAGAGAGAGAGAGAGAGAGAGAGAGAGAGAGAGAGAGAGAGAGAGAGAGAGAGAGAGAGAGAGAGAGAGAGAGAGAGAGAGAGAGAGAGAGAGAGAGAGAGAGAGAGAGAGAGAGAGAGAGAGAGAGAGAGAGAGAGAGAGAGAGAGAGAGAGAGAGAGAGAGAGAGAGAGAGAGAGAGAGAGAGAGAGAGAGAGAGAGAGAGAGAGAGAGAGAGAGAGAGAGAGAGAGAGAGAGAGAGAGAGAGAGAGAGAGAGAGAGAGAGAGAGAGAGAGAGAGAGAGAGAGAGAGAGAGAGAGAGAGAGAGAGAGAGAGAGAGAGAGAGAGAGAGAGAGAGAGAGAGAGAGAGAGAGAGAGAGAGAGAGAGAGAGAGAGAGAGAGAGAGAGAGAGAGAGAGAGAGAGAGAGAGAGAGAGAGAGAGAGAGAGAGAGAGAGAGAGAGAGAGAGAGAGAGAGAGAGAGAGAGAGAGAGAGAGAGAGAGAGAGAGAGAGAGAGAGAGAGAGAGAGAGAGAGAGAGAGAGAGAGAGAGAGAGAGAGAGAGAGAGAGAGAGAGAGAGAGAGAGAGAGAGAGAGAGAGAGAGAGAGAGAGAGAGAGAGAGAGAGAGAGAGAGAGAGAGAGAGAGAGAGAGAGAGAGAGAGAGAGAGAGAGAGAGAGAGAGAGAGAGAGAGAGAGAGAGAGAGAGAGAGAGAGAGAGAGAGAGAGAGAGAGAGAGAGAGAGAGAGAGAGAGAGAGAGAGAGAGAGAGAGAGAGAGAGAGAGAGAGAGAGAGAGAGAGAGAGAGAGAGAGAGAGAGAGAGAGAGAGAGAGAGAGAGAGAGAGAGAGAGAGAGAGAGAGAGAGAGAGAGAGAGAGAGAGAGAGAGAGAGAGAGAGAGAGAGAGAGAGAGAGAGAGAGAGAGAGAGAGAGAGAGAGAGAGAGAGAGAGAGAGAGAGAGAGAGAGAGAGAGAGAGAGAGAGAGAGAGAGAGAGAGAGAGAGAGAGAGAGAGAGAGAGAGAGAGAGAGAGAGAGAGAGAGAGAGAGAGAGAGAGAGAGAGAGAGAGAGAGAGAGAGAGAGAGAGAGAGAGAGAGAGAGAGAGAGAGAGAGAGAGAGAGAGAGAGAGAGAGAGAGAGAGAGAGAGAGAGAGAGAGAGAGAGAGAGAGAGAGAGAGAGAGAGAGAGAGAGAGAGAGAGAGAGAGAGAGAGAGAGAGAGAGAGAGAGAGAGAGAGAGAGAGAGAGAGAGAGAGAGAGAGAGAGAGAGAGAGAGAGAGAGAGAGAGAGAGAGAGAGAGAGAGAGAGAGAGAGAGAGAGAGAGAGAGAGAGAGAGAGAGAGAGAGAGAGAGAGAGAGAGAGAGAGAGAGAGAGAGAGAGAGAGAGAGAGAGAGAGAGAGAGAGAGAGAGAGAGAGAGAGAGAGAGAGAGAGAGAGAGAGAGAGAGAGAGAGAGAGAGAGAGAGAGAGAGAGAGAGAGAGAGAGAGAGAGAGAGAGAGAGAGAGAGAGAGAGAGAGAGAGAGAGAGAGAGAGAGAGAGAGAGAGAGAGAGAGAGAGAGAGAGAGAGAGAGAGAGCGAAACAGAGTGTGTGTGTGTGTGGGTGTGTCATATCAGCCACACGCTGCTTGATTGCTTGCAGGGCCGTTGTTGCTTGATGCCATCAGATGAAACAATAACAGGGTCTTTCATCAACGTCACAGATGATGCACAACCACAGCACACGCACACGCACACACACACACACACACACCACAATAACGCTGCATTATGGGAGGGAAATCACTCGCTCTGTGTGATTTTGTTCCAGGAAGGTACAGAAGTGTGTCAGGTTGAATGAGGTCACGATCTGATGCCATTTGATCCTCACACTGTATGGGCGAGACACACACACACACACACACACACACACACACACCCAAAGAAGGAAATCACACCTAAGTTTGGTGAATATATATATATATCTTAGAGAACATGCCAAAAAACAAATACTCTCAAAAAGGAAACACACACAATAAATATATATATATATACAGTATATACACATACATACATACATATGAATCAGAGGACTTCATCTACATCGCAGGCAGGCAACGGGGGAAAACCCCTCTGGTGTGACGGATCCAGCTTTGACGAGACAGCAGGTTTTTGTCAGGCCAGTTCTTCCACCCTAACATGGTAATCTTGCAATTCTACACAAGATTCTCTTCCTCTCTTCTTTTGCTGTTCTTTTGAACTTTCCAGCTGATTCTGGTGGCCAGAGAATCTGCTCAGATCAGGTTGAACTCTTTGTGCTGCCTCTCTGTCATTCCACACACAAGAACACGGTCGATCACAGTAGCTCTGATTTCATCTGAAATGACTGTTCTTGGTCTTGCTCTTCCTCATCCTCCTCTTCCTCCACTCTTCTGTACCTCTCAGACTGATGGATGCACTTTGAACTGGCTTATATTTTGTACATTCAAATATTTAGAAACAAGTGTGAACAGTTTTGAATTATTGTGTGTTAAATTATGTGTTGCAGTTGAGTTTTGCAAAAAGAGTACATGAGATCTGCAAACCGTGTCTAAACTGCCTGAACTTGATCAAGGTTTTGCAGAAAGAATGATTTAATTTATTTGACAAATTGGTTTAGGCTATTGAGAATTTGGTTCAGACTTCAGAGAATGGAGTTTAGTGTCTTAGCAAATGTGAAAAACTGTAAGACTGTCTCTCTCTCTCACACACACACACACACACATAAAGACAGACAGAGCTGGTAGATTACTTGCAAATTGCAGTGCGTTACTGATTCCAAATTACATCACAAAAATTGAAGTTAGTAACAATCCATTACATGACACATTTTAGGTAATATAATCAGACTACTTTTTGATTATTTTTGACGTAGCTCATTTATCACATTGATTTAAATAACAATAGTGTACCATTGATATAAAAATACAAAGAGAAAGAAATACATTAGGCTTGTTGTTATTAACAACATGAAACGCATTAAACATGACATTATTTCCCAAACTTCCCAAGAAAATATATTAGGTGAAGGAGGTTCAAAAACGTTTAGGAGTGCATTACATGTAAATAAGAAATAACGGGAATTTGTGCATTTCAATGTGTTTGATGGACCAAAGCCTGTCAAAGACATAGTAATACATGGTTAAATAACTGAATGATAATTAAAATAAAAAAGAATGTGTTCATCAGTAGTTGATGCAATGCTGAAATGTCGAGAGAATATTTCTTAAAATGTAAATGATTTCTGTGAATCCAGCGCTCAAATGCTGTGTACTTCTATCCTCCGACCTAGAGCCTGATCTCTGAGTGAATGGAGGGTGGGCTAATTCAGAAAGCAAAGTTAAAAGATGAAAGACAAGATTTAGGGAAAATCAATCAATTCTGAATAATTTATTGCTATTGTGTGAATAATATGAAATCATGTAATCAATAAAAAGTAACTGTAGTCTGATTATGAGTATTTTACTCAGACTTTAGTCAATCTATTGAATATGATGCAATATTTGTGATTTATATGTTGATTATGATTATTTTATTACAGTTACAACAACTTCCAGGAGAGGTTAACTAACCCATGCTAACCAGTTAAACTGTGAGCCCTGTTACAGCCGGAATGGCAGCAGAAATGTTCTGTAAAAACAAAACTGCAGGCAGTGAGTTTAACATCCGCTGACATGAAGATCTGTGTTCATCTCATCGTCTCTGTTTGTGATGATTTCTCACTCAGCTGTGCTTTAACAGAATGCCTTTATTTCTGGCCTGTGACACGTCTCTGTTCCTGATGGGAATATCATCTGTGAGGAATAAACCCGAGCAGGTCAAACGTGTGAAGCTGCTCCAGAGCTTCATGCTGGTTTAGTTGTGTGTTCAGACGCTTCTCTCTAAAGCTCCTGTAAATATGAAAGCGTCCAAAATACCAAATGTGCCGCTTGTGTGTCCCATGTGTATAATAAAAGTCAATAAGAAATAAAAGTCAATGAGAAACAGAGGATTTTTCCATTTAAAGGTCATAGATGACTTTCATCAGCCTGGTGTCATTCATCAGTGTGTCCAGCAGAGCTGCGGCCCTCAGGAGCCTCTCAGGGGCCCCTGCAGACGGACCTCCAGAGCTTGAGTTTCAGACCGTCACGCTAATGCAGCTCACAGACGTCTGGTGTGCAGTCCTGTCTGTGTTTGTGCTTCACTGTCCTGCAAGTCTGCTTCTTTTAATAACAGTGTTGAAGAACGTTTTTTCACCTTTTTTCCCTTTACAAAAAAACAAGGATCATGGCCAGTTTCTTCAAATATTTTCTTCTGATTTTCACTTGTATTGCAACAACAGCGGGAATAGAATACATCAAGTCAATAATTAAATGGTGCTTAAGGGTAATTTTAATGGAAAGAAAATACAGGGCTGTGAACCACAGGATAGTCTAGCCTTGACAAGATATAACCTGCATGGAAAGCAAGCATATTATCATTTAACATATGAATCATTCAGGATTGATCCCTGTCACCTCTCTAAACAATAACAATCATTTATTTCATTGCTGCAAAACCCACATCTTTCACTTTCCTCTGTCATATTAAAGGAAAAGTTAAAATTCAAAAATGAAAATTCTGTTATCATTTATTCACCCTAATGTAGTTCTGAATCTGTATGAATGCTTGTTTGTTTTTTTCATCACAATAAACATAGCACCGAGCTTTTAAGCTCAAAAAAGACACAAAAGACCATAAAATCATGAAACATGTCCATGTACTGTTCTTTTGATCTGAATGTTCAATGTCAATGCTCTTCAAAAAAAGAGATTCACACTGAGGATGAGACAGCAGGTTTTAATTTTTAGGTGAACTAAACCTTTAATTAGATTACCAAGTACCAGTGTAAAGTATCTGTCTGTCTCATGCTGCAAAGTGCAGATATCTGATGTACATTTCCTATCATTGTGTGAAATCCAACATGGACTGGTAGGATCCAGACAGAAATGTATCTAATGGCCACTTTGCACAATTAAATTTGTAGGTGCAATACGAATAGTCCATCAAGTCTAACTGTTATTGACTTCTGGTGAGATGTTTTCCACAGCCTGAGAGATTGCAGATGCAAAGTCCAGACAAATTGTACAGTCTGCGTGGCATGAAGGGGATGAGCGAACGCTGTTTTAGATAGTCAGATTAATGAACTCGATCGCTCCTTTTAATTTAGACAAGCCATACATCAGGATCAGTATAACATCAGGGCACCGCGAGGGGATCAGCATACTCTATCCATTAAAATATCCTCCAGGGTCTCTGTTGTGTGTGTGTGTGTGTATGTGTAAGTGTTTGTGTGTGTGTGTGTGTGTGTGTCATCATCACCTCCATCCTACACAAGAACACCTCATATTAATATATACAATAATATATTAAACACAATCCCATTTAGTATGAACTTTACAAAGGACATTAATGGACATGAGTTACTGGCTGTAGGGTCACACACACACACACACACACACACACACATATCAACTGACTTGCTGCTGCTCTGTGTTTTGTTTTGTTCTCTGGTTTCATGGTGTTTGACTTTTTTGGTAGGAGTTACTATCAGGGGTCAAAGGTCAGCAGTCCTGTGACAGCTTCAGTTTGATAAGCACAACACAACCTCACAAACAGTTGTATATCTACATCCAATGCCAGAACCTCAAGAATGCCAAAGAATCAGCACTGACTCACTTTCCTGAATGAATTATTCCCAGAGGAACCACAGAAACTCTCTCTCTCTCTCTCACACACACACTCTCGCTCTCACACACACACACGCACACACACTCTCTCGTTCTCACACACACACACGCACACACACTCTCTCGTTCTCACACACACACACGCACACACACTCTCTCGTTCTCACACACACACACGCACACACACTCTCTCGTTCTCACACACACACACGCACACACACTCTCTCGTTCTCACACACACACACGCACACACACTCTCTCGTTCTCACACACACACACGCACACACACTCTCTCGTTCTCACACACACACACGCACACACACTCTCTCGTTCTCACACACACACACGCACACACACTCTCTCGTTCTCACACACACACACGCACACACACTCTCTCGTTCTCACACACACACACGCACACACACTCTCTCGTTCTCACACACACACACGCACACACACTCTCTCGTTCTCACACACACACACGCACACACACTCTCTCGTTCTCACACACACACACGCACACACACTCTCTCGTTCTCACACACACACACGCACACACACTCTCTCGTTCTCACACACACACACGCACACACACTCTCTCGTTCTCACACACACACACGCACACACACTCTCTCGTTCTCACACACACACACGCACACACACTCTCTCGTTCTCACACACACACACGCACACACACTCTCTCGTTCTCACACACACACACGCACACACACTCTCTCGTTCTCACACACACACACGCACACACACTCTCTCGTTCTCACACACACACACGCACACACACTCTCTCGTTCTCACACACACACACGCACACACACTCTCTCGTTCTCACACACACACACGCACACACACTCTCTCGTTCTCACACACACACACGCACACACACTCTCTCGTTCTCACACACACACACGCACACACACTCTCTCGTTCTCACACACACACACGCACACACACTCTCTCGTTCTCACACACACACACGCACACACACTCTCTCGTTCTCACACACACACACGCACACACACTCTCTCGTTCTCACACACACACACGCACACACACTCTCTCGTTCTCACACACACACACGCACACACACTCTCTCGTTCTCACACACACACACGCACACACACTCTCTCGTTCTCACACACACACACGCACACACACTCTCTCGTTCTCACACACACACACGCACACACACTCTCTCGTTCTCACACACACACACGCACACACACTCTCTCGTTCTCACACACACACACGCACACACACTCTCTCGTTCTCACACACACACACGCACACACACTCTCTCGTTCTCACACACACACACGCACACACACTCTCTCGTTCTCACACACACACACGCACACACACTCTCTCGTTCTCACACACACACACGCACACACACTCTCTCGTTCTCACACACACACACGCACACACACTCTCTCGTTCTCACACACACACACGCACACACACTCTCTCGTTCTCACACACACACACGCACACACACTCTCTCGTTCTCACACACACACACGCACACACACTCTCTCGTTCTCACACACACACACGCACACACACTCTCTCGTTCTCACACACACACACGCACACACACTCTCTCGTTCTCACACACACACACGCACACACACTCTCTCGTTCTCACACACACACACGCACACACACTCTCTCGTTCTCACACACACACACGCACACACACTCTCTCGTTCTCACACACACACACGCACACACACTCTCTCGTTCTCACACACACACACGCACACACACTCTCTCGTTCTCACACACACACACGCACACACACTCTCTCGTTCTCACACACACACACGCACACACACTCTCTCGTTCTCACACACACACACGCACACACACTCTCTCGTTCTCACACACACACACGCACACACACTCTCTCGTTCTCACACACACACACGCACACACACTCTCTCGTTCTCACACACACACACGCACACACACTCTCTCGTTCTCACACACACACACGCACACACACTCTCTCGTTCTCACACACACACACGCACACACACTCTCTCGTTCTCACACACACACACGCACACACACTCTCTCGTTCTCACACACACACACGCACACACACTCTCTCGTTCTCACACACACACACGCACACACACTCTCTCGTTCTCACACACACACACGCACACACACTCTCTCGTTCTCACACACACACACGCACACACACTCTCTCGTTCTCACACACACACACGCACACACACTCTCTCGTTCTCACACACACACACGCACACACACTCTCTCGTTCTCACACACACACACGCACACACACTCTCTCGTTCTCACACACACACACGCACACACACTCTCTCGTTCTCACACACACACACGCACACACACTCTCTCGCTCTCTCACACACACAAACTCTCTCTCTCTCACACACACACACACACACACTCACGCTGATGGGTTATTATGAGAGTGTGTGTAACTGTGTTTGTGTCTGTCAGGTGTGTGTCAGAGTGCAGACAGCAGCTCACCGGAGGAGGACCAGCGAGTGTGAGTTCATGCATCAGAACAATCAATGCGTTCTGTAACTGATCATTAAAGTCAGACAAAACCCATCTTTGCACTGCAGAAATGGCATTTAGATGTATTCACACAGACTTTAAGATTAATGCTTTAAATACAACATATTAAACATAGACATATAGAATGTTGGGAAAAGTTTAATTCATTTATGATTCATTCATTCATTTAAAATCATTCAGCAAGTGATTATCTTTATGAATGGGTCACTGAATCATTAACTCTGCGTCACGAAACACCGCAGATGTTCTGTTGTGACTCTGTTTGGAACGACTTTGCAGCAAAAACAGTCGATATTGATAATATTGTGTCTAAAAGTTGTATTGTTCAATGTTAGCTTAAGCTTATGTTTTAGTTAATTTATTTATACTTGTATATCATTAGATAAAGTAAAAAATATGATCTTGAAAGCATGACAAATATGCATGTAGATGGACATGGCACTTTAAAATAAAAGCCCCAAACGGGCCGGGTGTGTTGATCTGCTGCTTTACTCCAGGGTTAATGTAGTGTTCATCGACCGCTCCGGACAGAGGATTCCCGTCGAGGCGAGGGTCGGAGATAACGCTCTTCACCTGGCGCACAAGCACGGCATTGAACTGGAGGGTGAGTCCAGCGCCTCTTCATCTCTGTGTGTTTGAGGCTCGTCTTCATCAGCTCGTCTCTGTTCGCAGGCGCCTGTGAAGCGTCTCTGGCCTGCTCCACCTGCCACGTGTACGTCAGCAGCGAACACTATGAGAAACTTCCAGAGCCTGAGGAACGGTGAGGAGAGCTCCGCTCATCGTGGTGCTCATCTCGAGTCGTTTGACGTGTGTGTGTGTGTGTGTGTGTCTGCAGGGAGGACGATATGCTGGACATGGCTGCGATGCTGCAGGAGAACTCTCGTCTGAGCTGCCAGATCGTCCTGACGCCGGAGATGGACGGCATGGAGCTGACGCTGCCCAAGGTCACCAGGAACTTCTACGTGGACGGCCACGTGCCCAAACCGCACTGAGCCGCGTTCCAGATCGCAAAGCACTGTGGGATATGACACTAACCCAGCCTCTTCCTCCGCGCGGCTCTCAGTGAGCGGGTTATGAGCTGAAGAGCACTGAACTCTTGAGCTGAATTCGGTCCTCAGGTATTTCCTCATGAAGGACTCCGGCGTGCCGCTTCATTATCCTTCACATAACCACAACATTAGAGAGAGTGTAGTTTTGGTTTAAAGGGTTAGTTCACCCAAAAATGAAAGTTCTGTCATTAATCACTCGTTCCAAACCCGTAAGACCTTCGTCGATCTTCAGAACACAGATGAAGATATTTCTGATATATATACGACTCTCTGACCCTGCAGAGACGGACAGCAAGAGAACTGAAACGTTCCAGGCTCAGAAAGCAGTGAGGACATCGTTAGAATAGTCCATGTGCTCAACCGTAATGTGATGAAGCTACGAGAATACTTCTGTGCACAAAGAAAAGAAAAATTCACTGATTTCTTGTGTCAGTCTGCGCCGTGCGTTCACGAGAGTATCACGACACATGCGTGTGCTTTCCTCTGCTCATAAACAAGCCGCAGCACATGCGTGTTCTACGTCAGAACACCGGCTCCTGCGTCAGCAGCATCACACGCATGTGTCACGGTACTGTCATGACTGACACGCAAGAGAAGAAATCAGTGAATAAAGTCATTATTTTTCTTTTCTTTGTGCACAGAAGTATTCTCGTAGCTTCATCACATTACGGTTGAGCACATGGACTATTCTAACGATGTCCTCACTGCTTTCTGAGCCTGGAACGTTTCAGTTCTCTTGCTGTCCGTCTCTGCAGGGTCAGAGAGTCGTATATATATCAGAAATATCTTCATCTGTGTTCTGAAGGTGAACGAAGGTCTTACGGGTTTGGAACGAGTGATTAATGACAGAACTTTCATTTTTGGGTGAACTATCCCTTTAAATGTACTGAAAACATCAAAATCCGAGAACTCTCCGTTTCTTTTCTTTGTATGAATAAAAAGATTTTCTGCATTGTTTTTATGACAGTTAGGCACATTTGCTTATTGTTTCCCATGACTGTAATGCAGATGTTGTTTCGTTCATAGTTATATAATTCACATTATCCTCCTCCTCGATGACTTACTGTACTGCAGCAAACATTACTGTAGTACAATATGTTACTGATGGAAGTCAAAATGAAAGAATGTGCAACAAATACTGCTATGATGCATAAACGGGCTTGGTTTTCTTCATACACTTATTATTGCTTTGTTGTTTTTGTGGTGAAGTATGAGCTGGACAGGATCTCACGGAAACATTCCACTTCACAAATAATGTCAGGCTTTTATTAATGTTAAGGTGTTGAGAGTTATGGACACGGCAGAAAGATACCGCTACACATCTGCTCTGATGTATGATGGCTCTGTTCTTCAATCCGTCCCTGATCCAGCAGATGTAGGCTCTCCAGACATTCCTGTGTTTTACAGTGAGACACAGTCACTGCAGATCATTCATTACTAACAAACACACATTTCTCCTGTCTCTACTCCAATTATTCAGAAATATGTAGAAACCACAAATCTGTGTGAGGTGTGTACAGTATTAAAAATGTCATGTTTGATTCTGACGTCTAAAATAAACAGTCACGTGTCATAATCCATGTGTTTGGAGTTAATCATTAATTCTTTACAATAAATGAGCCTATTATCCACTTCACTCGTTTAGTTTTCGAGAATCTGAGCTTCCGTCGCACAGGTGAGATCCGGAACACCTGCTCATCACGTCACGTGACAGTCGCTTCACATGTGAAAGGATCTCAGCGGTGAGTTTATTTACATCTGTTCATAATCACACAAACAAAAACTCCTCGTGCTCAGGTCGGACTGCTGAACGGGGGTGTGCTGATGCTGTGGAGCGCGTGCCGCGCGCGGGAGATTGACCGTTACTTTGTAGCGACTGCTGAGAGGAAACTCGTCGATCTGTTACATTGTGAGTTATTATGACGTGCATGAGCTGCGTTTGAAATATTCTTCAACTGTGAATTACTGCCAAGTAAATGTATCATCACTTTCAACTTTATTTATTTTCTTTCTGTCAGTTTATTTTCCGTCAGTTCTGAGGTAAACGTTATTCAGGACTGCCACTACAAGATTTTTGATGTCATATCCCAACCACATTAATAATAATTCTGTCTGTCCTCTTTATGTCATTGTGTGTTTGGTCTTTATGATAATGAGATGCGTCTTCAGTTTTCACAGGGATCTTTACTGCAGTGAACAGATGTGTAACTCTCGAATACTGTATATATTACTGCGTAAAAGACTGGAGTCAGTAAACATGAATGTTTTTTTGTTTTTAACAAACGACTAGTTTTATTCAGCAAGGACGCATTAAATGTATCGACAGTAAAGACATTTATAATGTCACAAACGATTACTATTTCAAATAAATGCTGTTCTTCTGAAATTTCTATTCAATAAAATGCATCACAGTTTCCACAGAAATATTGTGCAGCACAACTGTGTTCAATATTGATAATAATCAGAAATGTTTGTTGAGCAGCAAATCAGCATATTAGAATGATTTCAAGGCATGTTTATAAAAATTACTTAAATGTATTAATTGAACTATGGCCTAATACTGGCTTAGTCTAAGCCCTGTCTGTGAAACCAGGCCTAAAGCATCTTACTGACCCCAAACTTCTGACAGGTTGTGTGAACAGCCTGGGTGTTTAAATCTGTTGTATTTGAATGGCTTCAGAGTGTCTCCGTTTCTGTTCCTCTCTGTTTCAGTAAACCGATGAGGGAACATGAGCTCTCATGCGTGTTCTCCAGAAGATGTGCAGCACCAGCATGTGACCCAGTCCACCATCCTCCTCCTGCTTCAGGAGGCCACAAAACTCGCTCCGCCAGTGGACGACGAGAGCTGGAGTTCTGGACCGTCACATGCTGAGAATCTAGACACCGGGTCACTCGTCCTCTCCAGCCGTGAAGTCTCCGAGTTCAGCGGCTCTTTCTCTGTAATGCACGAGTCTGAGCGCAGCAGCAGCGCATGGGAGGTGATGTGTCTGATCAACCAGCAGTGCGAGCGGCTGCTGCAGTCCGGCTGTGAGGACAGAGGTCCGGTCAATCTCTACCCATCAGACGTCACAGAGACCGTGGTGACATCCAGACCTCTGTTTGAACCCGAGAGTCCCACAGTTAACGGCAGCAGCGCCCCGGCTGATGCATGTTTCTCCGTCATCGAGCTCACAGATGTGGAGGAAATCAAAGATCCCGATGATCTCGCTGAGCTCATAAAGACACACACAGCGGATCACATCAGCGCCAGTGAGAAGACAGAAAAACCGTCTGTGCTGCACATCGAGGGCCGTTCTGATCGGGACGAATCTGTTGTCCCGTCCACAGGAAATGACTGTCCTCTTGACTTCACTTCCTGTCTGGTGTCTGAGCGAGACGCTGAGAGTGAGTGGCTCCCTCTGAACGCCTCTGAAAACACACACTGTTCCTCACAGCTGGCCGACCTCAACAATAATCTCATAGAGAGTGTGCATAAGGAGCTCCAGGGTCGGCAGACGTGTTCGTGGGACGCCGGCAGACGGACTCAGAGGAAGCAGCCTCGTCCCGGCCGCAGCCCTGACCCGCAGGACCCCGGCGTGCAGGGCGTGACCTTCAGCATGTATCCGCAGCTGGACGCGAATCACAGCAGACTGATCATCACCTCCAACTACAGGTGGAGCTGCTCGTCTCCAGAACCTCAGAGGGAAAGAGTGTGGTGTATTTCTGCAAAGTCAGATTGATGTTGTGTCCTCCTCTGCTCAGTGAGGAGATCCGGCGCTTGAGGAGAAGCAGGAGCAGCCGGTGCCGGACTCAGAGGACCATCAGCTCCGAGGAGGAGAGCGACTCCTGCGGTCTATCCCGTCAGTACCGGACACAAGCACCAGAGGGCGCTCATCACTCTCTCTCTCACACACACACACACACACTCAATCTCTCTCTCTCTCTCTCTCTCTCTCACTCACTCTCTCACACACACACACACACACACACACACACACTAGTTAGTGCTGGTGAACTCACTCATCACTGGTACTGGTGCTCACTCTGATCTGTAAGTGTTTAAGTTGAGTGTAAGAGCAGCGTTTGTGCTCCAGATATGAATGATTCTCAGGGATGTAGATTTGATTTTGACATAAAAGCAAAAATCCCCCACTTTGCATTTATGATAGAATTCTAAACCCTTTATTTATAGATATTGTAGTCAACTCACTCATGAATGGCGTTTATGCCATCATGTTCTTGGGACACAGTTTTGAATATGTAAACATTACAATTTAGTTTTCTGTAATTCATGACATAATATCTAAACAGGCATGAGTTTCTTTCTTCTGTTTGACAGAAAAAAAAGATAATTTGAAGAATGTTGGTAACCAAATAGTTGACAGTAGCCAGTGACCTTTTTTTAAATTTTTTTTTTTTTCATACTATGGAAGTCAATGGGTGCCGTCAACTCTTTGGCTATCAAAATATCTTCTTTAATGTTTAACAGAAGAAAGAAACTCATAGAGTTGTGGGTTACTCACGCTTGAGGGCGAGTAAATGATGAGAGATATTTTTTTATTTTTGAGTGAACCGTCCCCAGAGGCGTGTTTAGAGTTTTAGGGGCCCTAAGCAAGCGTTCCCTCAGAAGAAATGACTATCCCTTTAGTGTTTCTTAGTCCACGTTGCCTTCAGTTCCTCACATTGGTTATAATGAAAGCAGTCCTTGTTCTGAAATGTGTGTTCCTCAGGGAGTAAGATCTGTGCGTCGTGCTGCACGAGGAAGACTCCTCTCTGGAGAGACGCTGAAGACGGGACGCCGCTCTGTAACGCCTGTGGGATCAGGTACTGGCCAACACTCCTCATGTTTATTCTAAAGCACATTTTTAAGTTACTTTTTATTTTTAAATAGTGCAGTAAGTATTCTTCTAATAAGGCCTGATTTAGTTATCGTGCACTCTTGGTGTTTGCAGGTATAAGAAATATCGTGTGCGATGCCAGCAGTGCTGGAACATCCCGAAGAAGGACGCAAACACGAACTCCAAGTGTCTGAAATGCGGCGACGTGCTGAAGCTGAAGTGCAGCAGCTGGTAGGACATTCATAACCTCCTCGCGCCCGCTGAGATGAAGGTCTCTGAATGAGCCGAGAGTCTGTGGATGCGATTCACGAGAGTCTAATAACGAGTCATTCTCAGGGTTAGTTATTGTGGACCGTTCAGTGCTGTATTTCACTATTGACTGTTCACTTATTTAATTTACACATTCTTGTTTTGTGACAACCTATTTCTTCATGGTTTGTGTCTTTTCTTTGGTCACGTCATCTCTCTGATTTGTGTTTGCACTGGTTGTGTTTGTGTTCAGAGGTTTTCTGTGCTGGAATGAAATATTAAATTGTATTTATAGTCCTCTATTGTCAGTGTTTTCTTAAGCAGATCCTCTGTCATCTGATTAATGATATATGCAGATTAATGCATATGCAGACGTTCTGCTGTAAATGTGATGATAATTGACTCTGAATTTCATGGAAGAGAAGCTTTTCATTCATTCGCTTTATTGGTTGTTTCTTTTTTCCAAGGCAGACGCTGCAGGTTCTGGTGTGGTTTTGGTCCCAAGGCTTTGGTTTAGTTTTCCTCTGCTGATTCGGCTGTTACTCGTTTGTTCCTTTGCTCTTCGCCGGTTCATGGATCAGAATCTGATCATCATGTGGCTTGTTTGGTGTAATATGAAGAGTGTAGAAGCAGTGATTGTGTTTGTTGTGATGTTTCTGTGTTGTGTCTCATGATCTGTGGTGTTTCTGATTATTTAGATTAGGGTTTAATGGTGATGGGGCAGAATGTAAGAGGAAAATTGTATTTCAGTGCTTTTGTGTTTGCTCCTATCTTTGTTTTTTTGCTATATTTCAGTGCTTAGAGGTGTGCCATGGGATTTTTTTTATTTATCAAAACACCTGATTTAGGGACTCCATAGAAGGGTGTGTATGAGAGAGTGTGTTTTGCATGAGTGTATGAGTGAGTGTGTGTTTTGCGTGAGTGAGAGTGTGTGTGTGTGTGTGTGTGTGTGTGTATGAGAGAGTGTGTGTTTTGCGTGAGTGTATGAGTGAGTGTGTGTTTTGCGTGAGTGAGAGTGTGTGTGTGTGTGTGTGTGTGTGTGTATGAGAGAGTGTGTGTTTTGCGTGAGTGTATGAGTGAGTGTGTGTTTTGCGTGAGTGAGAGTGTGTGTGTGTGTGTGTGTGTGTGTGTATGAGAGAGTGTGTGTTTTGCGTGAGTGTATGAGTGAGTGTGTGTTTTGCGTGAGTGTGAGTGAGTGTGTGTTTTGCATGTGTGAGTGTGTATGAGTGAGTGTGTGTTTTGCGTGAGTGTGAGTGAGAGTGTGTGTGTGTGTGTGTGTGTTTTGCATGTGTGAGAGTGTGTGTGTGTGTGTGTGTTTTGCATGTGTGAGTGTGTGTGAGTGTGTGTGTGTGTGTGTGTGTGTGTTTTGC